GGGCCAAAATACTTGTGCAAGTAGAAACGTGTATTTTAAATGATTTGAAATGAAAATGAAGATTTTGTACAAGATTTTCCTCCCCCTTGTATTTTGTAAAAATTAGGATTAAAAGATGATTTTGAGGAATATGTGTTTTTGGTTGTGTATGGATGTTGCATAAGTTTGCTAGAATCTATTGAGTATGGTCAGAGAGTCATTGTATGCTTTTGACACTTACGGTTAAGTTGGGACACCATGGTTGTGAAATTTTGGTGAAAAAAGTAGTAAAAATGGGCTTTGGTGTCTCACTTCTTATAGAAAATGAATTTGAATGTGAAACTTGTATCATTAGCTAGAGCTAAGAGAAAGCTCTATATAAATATTGAAACCACCTCAATCGGACGTCAGATAGAGATTTAGGAAGCATCAAAAATTCACTCCTTGTGCTGTCATTTTGACAGCTGATATTTGTCAAATTCATGAAATGCGCCATAACGCATGGCATAGAGGCGAGTAAGCCACAATGCATGTATCATAAGCTATGGCACATGAATCATTTTCTACATAAAACACAATTTTGAGTTTTAAAACTCATTGTTTTGCATCCCTTTCATTTTCTAAGCTTTTGCATTGTTTTCAAACTCTGATTTGAACATTTTAAGTGTATGTTGGAGATTAAAAATTGAATTTTGGGATTCCATTATTAATGATTTGAGAATTTTTCTCAATTTTGTAATTGTACAACTTTGGTAATCCTTGAAGGGTTAATCCCTTGTTTACCTTAGTTATGGAGTTAAAGGTGGTTAAGTAAGGGAGACCTTACACTTGGGATTCATTCTCACATTTGTTATTTATGGTCGAGTCATGTTTTGTTAACGTTAGTCACGTGAATTGTGTGTTCACATTTTTTTTTTCGTGCTTTAGGTCTTATTTGGTTAGTATTGCCCTTGTGGACTATGTGTCTACCTTTGTTTTCATGGCATAAGTTGTGTTTGACTATTTATTCTTGTGGACAGTGCGTCTCGTTTATTACTTGTTCTATTAAGTCCTTAAAATTTTGAATTTTAATTGACTTGTGTACTTAAATTTCATTGGGTTAATTAGTAATGTTTCCATCCTTATCATTTATATATATAATCCATTTAATTCCTCAAAAACATTTGATGGAGCATTTTTGTTTATTCTTATTTAATGGTTTATGATTTTTGATTCCAAGAATAATTGAATTATTATTTTTCCAATTGTTTACATAATTGAGTGAATTTATTCATTTTATTTGTTTATATTTTATTATTTCTAGGACATTGTTCACTTGAAAATATTCTTTAGTCTAAGATATTTTAGCTGATGCCTTACCTCTTGCTGACCTCGAAGAGACTTTTTGCTGATTTCATCTAGAGATTTGTTTTGGGCAAATCTTCTTTTGAAGTAATTATGTGTCATATTTTGAGAATATGATTTAGGTGCTCCATGTTAACTATATATAAGATCTTAACTTGTTATGTATTTTTACTACGTATCTGTTGTTGAGGAGCAGACCTCCCTGTTGCTGAACTATATGAATTTTGCTATTGTAGAGATTTGGAAAGGTCTAATTTAAAAGTGTAGTTCTACAAAAATTTCTATAGAAAGTTCAGAATTTTTGTTTATGTGAAAAGTGTTGCAAGAATTTCTAATCATACTTCTAATGCATTAAAGATATTAAATTATAGTCTTTCTTGATCAAGGTTTAAGGGATGTGTATTTATGCATATATCTCATCTCAGTCATGTCTAATTTCTGGGGCGTGACATCAATCATAAGGTTATTGTTCATTTGATAAGGTTAGAATTTTAACTAAACTTTGGAAAATCATAATTAAGTATAAAAAACTCATATGAGGATGCTTTAAAATCCACTTGAAAGATATTGAAGTCTTTTATATGATAAAAAATATAGTTATGGCCTTTACTCATGCCTTAACTTTAAAAATTTTTAATTCAATGTTTACACATCCAATTGACATATTTTGGGACTTGTTGGAAAGGTTTATGTGCCTAGTTTGATCATAAAAATTCTCATGAGTAAAGAACATGGTTTATGTTATACTATAGAGTGAAAAAGTAATCTTTCTCTAAAAAGATCCTAAACTAGATAGCAACAATTATGTATACTAAAATCATAACGTATTAAAATCATGATTTCAAGTCTAGTTTTAGGACTACAAATTAGTCATCATACATTATAAATATCAATTATACATACCAAGTTCACATCATAAATTTACCTATCTCATGGGATTATTGATACATTTTTCATCTTCTATAAAGTAATGCCATAGGAAATTAATTCTTTCTTCCATTTACCTTTGCTTCTTGCTTTAGTTCTTTCTTTGGAGGCTTCTGACCTAGCATGGTTAGTCATTGGGAGTGAGATTTGAGAAAATCTTAGTAGAAAATAATACCATTCAAGCATACAAGTTAAAAGCTTTATACATGACATGCTTGCTCTATATAACTTCATAACTTACACATATAATGATATGTTCACATGCTCAATGTTTCATATATCATAAATGGACCATGGAACACTTGCAAACCAAGCTACAAACATTCATTCATGATCCAAATAATCAAGCAAGCAAATCATACATATCAACATACAAGCATAAACACCAAGGATGCAATGAAGAGTAAGTTTAATACCTTTTGGCTTTACTATTTCTTCTTTGTCTTCCTTGCTTCCATAACTTGATCCACCATGGTCATTCCTCTAATTTCTTTTTCTATGACACTTATTGGCTCTAAATATATTTTATAGAATATTTATTATAATTGTTAGATCCATTAATCACATTGTCAATACTTGACAACTTACTCTCCAACTCATCCCTACTTTCTTTATCTTAATTTTAACTTTATTTTCCCTTAGTATAAAATTCTTGTGCCATCATTTCTCTACTCAATTTTTAGGAGGAATTAGTTTTTAAACTCAAAGATCACAAATTCCATCTCCTTCCCTTTTTACCAGCTTAGGGTGAAATTATGGGTAATTAAGACCCTAGATTGTGCTTCCTACCAAGTTGTTTTCATGCTTCATATTTTACACGGATCAAGGCTAGGTTTTGAATCATATTTCGTGAATTTAAACTTGATTAAATTCATAGTTTTATCTTAAGGAAAAATGGACAGCACCACCCCTTAGTTTCAAGCCTTTTCAATTTTCACAAAACTTGCTAAACTCTTATTCTGTCATACCTAAACATCTTTTAACATCATTTCTATGGTCTTAGCATCAATAAAATCCTACGATTTCCTCTTTAAAAAAATAGGGCAGCAACACTACATCAAGAAATCTTAATTAAATATCAAGATACTTAGCTCAAAATAAAGCTTGCACTTACCTCTTCTCTATGTACTAACTTGTTATTGCTTTCCTACTTCTTCCTCCATCTTTGACACTTCAAACTCATCCTCTTAAAAAGTTGAAACCATAGGAATATTTCTCTTGATTAGACGAGCAACTTTTGTGAAGAAAGTATAGGTAAAAGAAGTTATTTGAGTGGAGTTTTGCCTTAATTCCTCCCCCCTTTCTCTACAATATTGCTAACCCAAATGAGAAAGGGAAGAGAATGAAGTGTTGAATAGAAAAAATTTAAACCAAGTTTAATAATATTTGGAATCCAAAATATCTAATTTCTAACTTTAATCTTAACCATTAATTTTGATCAATTTTGGTCCAAGTAAATTTCCTAACCTTTTCTTCCATTCTAATCCAAAATGACATCACCACTCCCTCAAAAATTGGGCCAAAAAGGCTTAATATTTAGGTTAGGTAAAATTTTTGGTATTTTATTCCTTTTCCAAATGGAATCAATTTATATTCAATAATTAGTTATTTGGGAAATCCTTGACCAATAAAATTGATATAGTTCAGCCACATGTTTTCTCCTTTCTTCCACTAATTTTATTTAATTTCTTGCTAAATTTAGGGTAATTTTTGTAATTACACTTAAAGACCCCAAACTTTTAGAAATTACTTTTTGACCCTCATTGAGCTTGACATTCCCGGTTAATATTCACCCTTGTTCCTTTTTAATTTTGATTACTTTTTCATAATCCATTTTATTTATTTTCACATATTTACCCTTAAATGATAATTACCTTTTTGTCCTTGAGAGGTTTTTACTCTTACTCACTTTTCTTCTCTTTCCTTTCTTAGCCTAATTAATAATTGATCTATCTAAGAAAAATTCAAGAATACTCTCTCTGTAATAGTTAGCCAAACTTAAGAAGTTAATGTATTCTAAACTTATACAAGGCCATCCTCTTCCTAGAGAACTATTGTATGCTCTGTGGCTCAGTCACTCTTAGGTCTACTACAACAATGATATCTAACTGTGATCTCGTCGTGCCCTTTTTTGATCAACTATAATCCATAGGATCTAATTTTGATCCTTCTCTAGGAAACTAATTAGGACACAAGGATAAAGTTGTCAAATAAATTTGCCTTTGTTCATTCAAACCAAGCCTTGATATTTATTTTATACATATTATCTTTTTCAATTGAATTGTTTGGTGGAACACATATCAATTATTGTAAAAGTTGAGTATTTGCACGACTACATACGTTTTTCGTTATTTAATCTGTATATAATGTTAATCAAGATTAGTTTGAGTATGCAAAACACATTTTTAAAAAATATTATATATAATTACTTTTCTTAAAATAAATATAGAAATATATGGTGTCACTTTATATTTTATTAAGGTTTTTTAAAATATTTTGCATAATTATATACAATTATCATTTTTAAGTCATTAGAATTATTTTTTAAAAGATATTCAAACCAATGATTGGTGTGTATATTAATTTCAAAAAATTAGTCCCCCACAAGATCACGCTGGCTGGTTCCAGCAATTTCCCCACGTATTATTGTTCCTAAAATATTACATAGGATAGTTCACGCAGTTTAATTTTCTTTATGTCCACTTCATCAGTAAAGTGAGAACATCATTCCTTCCTCCATCCCGGGAGATCTAAAAGGACGAAGTCGAAGGGGTGCGTGTGTGAAAAATAGCCCAAAACATGGCCACCATCATCCCTAAGTCGTGGAAGAAGATCTGGGAGAACTGGAATGTCCGCGGAGTCATCCTCTTCAGTCTATGCTTTCAGATTTTTCTCATCATTTTGCCTCTTCGAGAAAACGCACAAAAAGCTTCTTAATATGGTTTGTCTGGTTTGCTTACCTTCTTGCAGAACTGCCAGCTTCTGTGTTGGACTCATATCCAACAATCAAGACAGCAATACCACCTTCACTGAAACCGACTACCTCATGGCATTCTGGGCTCCTTTTCTTCTGCTTCACCTTGGTGGTCCAGACACCATCACTGCTTTTGCCTTGGAGGACAACGAGCTCTGGCTCAGACATCTTGTCGGTTTCATCTTCCAGGCCGTCGCAAATGCTTACGTCTTCCTCTTGACTGTTCCTGGTAACACATTATGGTTACCAACACTGTTGCTGTTCCTCGCCGGTTTAATTAAGTACGCTGAGAGAACTCGCGCTCTGTACCTCGCATCCATCAACAATTTCAAACAATCTCTTGTTCCAAAACCCGATCCGGGTCCTAATTACGTCAAGCTCATGGAGGAACACGATTCCTGGGTGAAAGCAGGACTTCCTTCACAAATCATCATAATTCCAGAATTTGCTCAGGGATACGATGATAAGGTTGATGATAAGGTTGCCGTTGGACAGACAAAAGGTGGGATTAGTGATCTTGAGGCTGCGCAGAAAGCCTACTTCTTCTTCCGGAAGTTCAAAGGACTCATCGTTGACATGATCTACAGCGCCCGCGATCGCAGCGATAGCGAGCGATATTTCTGGAAACTAGAGCATGAAGATGCCCTTCGTGTAATAGAAATTGTACTCAACTTCATTTATGAAGCTTTTTACACCAAGGCCACTGTGATTCGCAATTGGTTCGGGTTCTTGTGTAAATTTGTTTCCTTCATTTCGACTGTGGCTGCGCTTGGACTCTTCATTTCGAAAGAGAAGAAAAGATTGGACAAGTTTGATGTTAAGGTCAGTTATGCGTTGCTGTACGGCGCTCTGGCTCTGGATATCATGGCTTTCTTCATGCTCATCTTCACCGATTACACAGCCACTCTTTCTGGTGATGAATATCTCGACAGAGTTTCTGGGTTCCAACGGTACAAAGCTAAGTTCTTCAAATGCTTCAATCAAAATATTTTGGCGCATTTCCTCAAGTTGAGGAGATCACGTTGGAAAGAATTTGACTCCACCTCACCACCTCAATTTCACAGTTTGGTTCATTTCCTCACCTCGAGGAGAACAGGTTCGAAACAATCTGAGCTTGAGAAGTATAAAGGCCATAAAAAACTGTGCTCCCCCTTTCTCTTTCGCAGATGGTCTGGATCAATCTCGGGCCACAATTTGCTAAAATTTTGCCTGGACGGGTCAATTCCGGGGGTTCCTAGCCTCAATCAATTCTCTATTGCTGAAGTCGTTCGACATGGGTGCTTAAAAATTGTACAGTTCGCCCAAGTTTGTTTCTATCAACTAGTCAAATTTTTTGGTGGTGGAGATCTCCTTGTTGAATGGAAATACAAGTCCAAAAACCCATTCCTTAAAGAGCTTTGGGAATATATTTTCAAACAGCTGAAAGAGAAATCTGATCATGCTCAAGACGATGCTGAGACCATCCAAACCATATGTTCTCTTAGAGGTGAGGGGGTTCTCCATAATGCAGAATTTGATGCCAAAATCCGAGACAGTTTGAAGCCTTTCACGGAGTCCAACCAGGTTACTTTTGATCAGAGCCTGCTATTATGGCATATTGCTACTACCATTTGCTACTTCAGAGATGCCCATGTTGGACTACGCGATAAAGAATTCAGCATGCTTCTCTCAGATTACATGCTATACCTTTTAGTCATGCAACCTAACATGATGTCTGCCATAGCAGGGATTGGACAAAAGAGGTTCCAGGATACATGTGCAGAGGCCAAGAAGTTCTTCAGCAAAAGGAATCTAGAACAATGGGATCCGAAGGAAATGCAGGAGGAAGGTGAAGAAATGAAGAATAAAGGTCAGGAAATGCAGAAGGAAGGTGAAGAAATGCAGAAGAAAGGGGAAGAAATGCAGGAGCAAGGCAAGGAAATGCAGAAGGAAGGCGAGAAAATGCAGAAGCAAGGCGAGGAAATGCAGAAGAAAGGCAAACAAATGCAGAAGGAAATGCAGAAGAAAGGCGAGGAAATGCAGAAGGAAATGCGGAAGAAAGGCGAGGAAATGCAGAAGAAAGGTTGCTATCTTCTTATCAAAGTGCCTACAATAGAAAAACCGACATACGTGAAGGGAGATAGGAGCAAATCAGTGTTGTCTGATGCATGTAGATTGGCAAAAGTGTTAGAGAAATTAAAAGTCAAGAAGAAATGGGAAATTATAAGTTCCATATGGGTGGCATTGTTATCGTTCACTGCAATTCATTGCAGGCCCACAACACATGTGCAGTTATTAAGTAGAGGTGGAGAATTGATTTCGTTTGTTTGGCTGTTAATGTTTCATTTGGGGCTGGGAAAGCAGTTCCAAATCATGGAAGGCGACGCAAGAGAAAAACTTACAGTGGGTAAGTTGCTGGATTAGAATTAGACTGCTTTTGCATTAGTGGGTAAAAGTTGCTGATTGACTTGGACTAGTGTTAATAATCATGCTTCTTAGTCTGATCTATTCAAATTTGAAGTCAATCATTCTCTAAACTACGGCACTCATGTATCCTTCGCCGTTTGGAAATGTTATTTTATTTAGGGAGAAAGGAGAATGAAGTATAATTGCTCTATGTGTATGAAAATTGAGTTTATTGCCATTGCATCCTTTTTTAATTGAAATGTAACTGTATAGGCTAGGTTGACCATGGTTACTGAGTGGTTGTACTCACTTCTCATTCTTTAATATTTTCAGAACCTAATTCATCAAATTAGGATTAGAAAAAAATGACCAGAGGCATAGGATTCTGAATAAATCCTATTTGTAAGCCTCCTAATATTATTTATGTGTATTTTGATGGTTAATTTTGTCAATTAGGACTTATATCATTATTTTGAGCTACTTACATTATAAATGAAAATACTGTTTGTATTTCATGCCCTGAATTTTTGACATGTGATTGCAAGGCTTGTATAGGACCGAAATACTATTGTAAGTACATTAAAGTGTATTTCGGTTGTTTTGAATGAATATTGACGATTTAATGCAAAGTTACCTCTCCGTTGTGTTTTTGAAAATTGAGAGGTTGACGGTTGAATTTATGATGTATGTGTATTTGGTTGATTGAGGCATGTTGTAAGAGTCCTAAATGGTTTATTGAGTATGGTCTAAAAATTGGTGTAGGCTTTTGGCACATTTGTTGGAGTTTGGGCAACCTAAATGTGAGTTAATGAGAAAAAGGAGTGAAATTGATAATGGGTGTCCAATTTTTGATAGAAAAATAATTTGGTTGTGAAACTTGTGCCATTAACTAGAACTAGAAAAAAGCTCTTTGTAGACACTCAGATCATTTCAATCGGATGTTAGACGAAAAAATGAGATGCATCGAAAGTTCTTTTCTAATGTTGTCATTTGATAGCAAAATTTGCTATCAAAATTGTGTAATGTGCCACAATGCATGGCACAGAGACATACATGCCACAGTACAGGAGCAATTAGCTGTGATGCATGTGTTGTTTTCTATACAATTCACTATTTTGAGTTATATGTAAATGTTTTGATTCTTTCTTTAATTTTCAAGCTTCTACACACATTTTAAACTTTGATTTGAATATATTAAAAGTATATGAGAGTATTTTAAAAATTGAAATCTTGAGATTCCATTGTATAATTTGACAAATTTGTTATTCTTACTGAGATAATCTCTTAATTACTTAAGATTTAAGATTGAGGGAGATTTTACACTCAACCATAGCCAATGTAAGAGATAATATAGACATATCTCTAAATATGAAAAATTATAGATATTGGTAATGAAATCTAAGAAACTTTAATGGATTATCTGAACTATCTATAACAAATGAGTTGGGATATTAATATTCATATATCATTTATTATATGAGAGTATTTTAAAAATTGAAATCTTGAGATTCCATTGTATAATTTGACAAATTTGTTATTCTTACTGAGATAATCTCTTAATTACTTAAGATTTAGATTAATTGGGTAATAGTGAGGGAGATTTTACACTCAAACATAGCCAATGTAAGAGATAATATAGACATATCTCTAAATATGAAAATTATAGATATTGGTAATGAAATCTAAGAACTTGAATCAATAATGGACTTTAATGGATTATCTGAACTATCTATAACAAATGAGTTGGGATATTAATATTCATATATCATTTATTGACCATCAGTAGTGCCATCACCATTGAGATAATCAAATTAGCAAATCTTGAAAAGCACTGATGGATATTTCATTATTTGTTGCCAAATCTCATGTTTCTTGCTAGTGTAATTCTTTAGCATATGTGAAGAGCTTCAAAACAAAATTTGGGTACCATTGGAGCCTCATCCAAATAATCAATGATGTGTTGAAACCAATAAAGTCAGCCAGGTTGCTCTCTTGTTTGCTAAATATAGTTGTTGATGCATGGTAGGGTTGGCCAAAGATTTGGAGGAATTAAAAGACAAGAAATGGGAAATATAGGTTCCATATGGGTGGAATTGTTGTCGTTCGCTGCAATTCATTGCAGGCCCACGACATGTGTGCAGTTATTAAGTGGAGGTGGAGAATTGATTTCGTTTGTTTGGCTGTTAATGTTTTCATTGGGGCTGGGAAAGCAGTTCCAAATCATGGAAGGCGATGCAAGAGCAAACTTATAGTGGGTAAGTTGCTGGATATTAGAATTAGACTGCTTTGCATTAGTGGGTAGAAGTTGCTGATTGACTCAGACTAGTGTTAATAATAATGCTTCGTAGTCTGATCTACTCAAATTTGAAGTCAATCATTCTCTCAACTCTCCGCACTCTTGTATCCTTGTCCGTTTGGAAAATGTATTTTATTTAGGAAGAATGAAGTAAAGTCCCATAAAAGGGAATTTAAGATAGCTAGGTCCTATATATATATATTTTTTTAAATATCAGCTATAAATTGAGAGGTATTTTAAAATTTAAATATCTTATTTATATTTTAAAACTCCTAAATTTATAATTGTTTGAATTAATATTTATAATTAAGTTTTTTGAAAATTTTATTAGGATCTTAACTGATATTAATTTAATATTTGGAGACTTAATGCCATTCTTCTTTTTATTTAACAACCATGGGCCAGTCACCTGAAAGATATATTAGAGATGATTTGTTGGAACTTGATAAACAAGGGAAAAAAATACAGGAGGAACTAATTAAAGCAGAATCGGAGATGATAATTCTTTTTTAAATGATATTTATTATTGCATTTGTAACAAGCTATAATGAAGACTGGATTGAATAATTTTTTTTTTCAGTTTAGATTGAGAATATTTTTTCTTAATCCAAATAGGTTTAACATTCAATATATATTATTAATATTAAATATATTTATTTAATATCAATTACAAAAATAACTAATTGAATGATATGGACGTCACCTTGTTACTTGTAGCTGCTAGACATGACTGCCATGTTTAAAGCCACATTGATTGCCATTCGGGACTTGGTTTGCCACCTTAAATTAATTTCAACTGAATCACTAGGTTTTAAAGTGAAATTTCAGAATCACGTCAAAGAAACATGAGTGAAATGTCCAAAAATCTTTAATCTTAAAATGAGAAGATAAAATTATTGGCCCTATAATTTATATATTTTAATTTTAATATCTATAGTTTTTTATTAGTTTTAATTCCCATAATTTTAATAATATTTAGTGATGTTTATTACTTAGGTTCCTATATTTCAATGTTCTTCATCCTTATAGAATCTAAAAATATTAAAAAAAAATAAAGATTAAAATAAAATATAATAAAATTATAAGAATTAATAATTATTTTTTTGCTTCTGATAATTTGCTGTTGAAGGCCTAGAAGTGAACTACAAAGTTCAAGTTTTCCGATATGTGTTTCACTTCAACTTGTCCAGGAATAATTGGAAATATATTTTTTTTTCATTAAAAAATAAGACATTTTTAAATGAATCTCACCTCTAATAAGTAGTTATTTATTTTTTAACTATATATAAGGGGTGCTTGGCTTGAGGTAAGTTAAAAAGGAAATCAAACTTCATGGCAATAATGAAATTCTCCTTAATTGATTAACTAAATTCCCTCACAATTAAAAAAAGTAACTTATCAAGAATAACCCCCGTCAGTTTTTACTTCACCAAGCATTATTATAAATTTCTAAAGTTACCCGGAACAATATGTATAAAATAAAACTCAATTTAATAGGATATTTCTCATTCCCATTAAAAAATACTACTATACTATAAAAAAGGTTAGACTTTTCAAAAACTAAAAAGATGAATAAGCAATTATCTATGAACTAATTACATAGAATACTTTCTTAAGAATGGTAGTATATGTAAAACTAATAAAATACTTGTGCAATACACGGATCTTTTACAACATTATTTTTAACTAAGTGTTTAATGTTATAGGAAAAATCTTTTTTAAACAATAACTTGTAGCAGGGCACATTTTCTATATTTATCTTATACATATTGGGGCTATGTCATTATCGTCACTAATTTTCAATATGCATATTAGAATAAAGAAAATGATAAAAACTAAAAGCATATTGTATAAATGGATAAAATCCGAAACAGGTTACAAAAAAAATTATAATTTTTTTAGATCAAGTTATTGAAGACTTCCATATAAGCGATAACAGAACTTCTATATGTGGAGTAATCATCATTTTCATTAAGAACCAATACTTATAAACCCTCCTAGCTTAAAAAAAAAGAGAGAAATGACAATATATAATTGGCTATGGGTGAGAATAGAATGGGCAAGTACAAACCAATATACCACAGGCTTTGGCTTTAGCTTTTATTAATGGTCATTGCAAAGGCCAACATAATGGGAAACTGCCTTCTTCCCATAGTAAATGGCAAGCTAAAATTAGATAGCACTATAGTAATAGGTGGTATACATACTTTTGTTCTTGAATTTAATCCATACATTTATTAGATCTCAATAACATGTTTTTTAGTTCGTGTAACTATGAGACATGTATTATTGCACAACCCTACTGACTTATTAATGTTTTGCATTAAAATAATTGGGGCACCCACTTTGTGCCTTGTTTCATGATTTGGGAGGTATAACATTGTAATTAAATTTAGAAAATCCCATATAGTGCATGTCACCAAGAAAATTCATGTCCCCATCATTTTTCACAACACTATCAAAGCTTAAGTATACAACTTCCTTTTCAGGAAGCGGGGATAATATGTATTGGTTACTTCCTCAACCACAACTAGTGTAGGAGATAATGTAGACATATCTCTAAAATATGAAGAATTATAGATATTGATAATGAAATCCAATAAAGTTGAATCAATAATGGACTTTCACGAATTATCTAAACAATCCAGAAACAAATGAGTGGGATTATAATATCTGTAACATCTAAAATTTTAAATCTGAAATATATTGTTAATTAAGGGATAAATTAGTTAAAAAATAATTAACTAGTTTAATTATGTTTTTAGTGTTACTTGGCTTGTTGGGTCATATTTGGCTCTAAATTAAGTTAGAATGGAAGTTAGTTGATCGAATTAGGTTCATTGGGGGGAGCAAAAGTGAGTTTTTGCTCTTTGCATCATGAGTCACGGCTTGTGTGCCATGAGTGACATCGTAGTACAACATAGGCATAAAACACAAAAATCATCAGAAAAATTAGTTTTTGTAAAGGAAAACCTAGAACTCGAAGTGAAGGATTTGAGCACTGCTAGGGCTTCAATTTGGAAGAATTTTGAAGCTAAATTGAACTTT